AAATGTAATATCAAATATAATAACAATATCATAGACTTAAGATTCTAACAGATACCAGGTTTCAAATCCTCTTTTTTGACTTTGTGTATCTTCAAACAGGGGTAGAAGTATGGTTTTCCTGGTTTGAAGTGAGGCAAAGTGCTTTGGGCATTTGTTGGTCCAGATTTATCAGCTTTAATTTCATCTGATATGCCCATGATACGTTTGGCTGTATTTGCTGATATTTCATATTGCTATGATGATAATACAGTGTTAATAGGTTAATTACGTGCTAGCATTAATAAGTTGGTTCTACACTTTAAGAGGCTCCTTTTTAAAATCTTTAATGAAGAAATTTACCTCATTCCCTCACTTTCAGTTAGTTACTTCGGTGAACCATGAAACCAGTTCAAGTGCATAGAAAGGCCAATCCATCGGCAATACATTAACAGATTTCATAAAACTATACCGACTCATACCTTTTCAAATTGTTCTACTTTTAGGGGTTCCCCTCGGGCCTCGATATTGCACATATTTCACGGTACAAGAATTTATTGGTTCATCTTTAATATATTGGCAATAACCGTTAATGTTTCGTTATTTATACCAGATTGTTTCAAATAGTTATTTTAATTTATAACTGTTCACAGTCTATAATAGTGGTGATCAATTTAAATCTTGTTGCGAAGTTTTACTCGAATACTGTTATATTTGTCTATGTAGTGTGTAATATCAATAAATTAAGCTTTCAGATGACATTATAGTCAAAACTAAGGAAAAAACGAAATTCGTGTTTGCATTACTTTAAATACAATCAGCTAAAATTTATGTTTCAACGATAATAATTAAGTACGTTTTTATTGAATAAATTCCTTTGGTGTACAATAACAAGTAATTATAAGTAATATGTTATTATGTATAGCGTCAGTAAGAGGCTTCCTCTCAGGCAGTGGTTTAAGTAGCCGTTCTGTCACATACTCTTTGTATTGTTCATTACCAAGTGTCTTAAGTTTCCTGATGGAATTTTCAATCTCAGTTGACTGTGGGATCTCCATCCCATCTCTTAATGAACGTAGTGTGGAGAATTCCGAAGCGAATGGGTTTAAAATTAAAATTCGACATTAGTCAGATTACAGACACGAACGTTTTTAAAACAACATAATACTAATAATACAACATAAAGGACGTATTAATAAATACGTCCTTTTTAAAACAGCATCGTATATCTCCTCTGAGGCATCCTGCATGATCTAAATGCATACTTTCTAATAACTTGTGGAGCCGATTCAATCAGGTTTTCCAATTGTTCCGTCTCGATAGTCCTTAAAGAGATCATGAAGTGTAAATTTGCGAATTCTTCAAAAATACTCGAAACTTGGGTAGTGAGCTAGGCTGGGTAATTCTGCCGCAATCCCAAAATAGCTCCGTCGTAATTGCTTCACAAGCTGAGATAATATGGGGTATATCAATTACATTTTTCCAAGTTGTGGCTAGGTGACGGGATAGCATATACGACATGTGTAAAAACGCCTGATTTTAATTGTCCATATAACAAGTTTTCTGTTGGTTTTTTTGTTGAACCGACAAGATTACCATCAGGTATAAACCATTATATTTCACATATCTTCCTAAATTTGGTGTACAGCGATTAATCTAGTTCCTACAAGCAATTAAAGACAGCTCACTTCATGGAATTTGAATGTAGCACGATCAGTGTTCAATTTGTTTACTTTCGTTCTGTATGGTCTTTGTATTTTAAAGCTTGCGAATGTGTGCTTTCTTGAATAACGTGTAATGTGTAGACACGAACCTAACATATGTATCCGTAGTCTGTACCCCGTAGATAAAAGTCTTATCTTCCAATTAAGAATTAATAACTAAGTCAGAGCTGTTACAAATTTTCGCGTTTGTTGTCGACTGCGGCACGTGTTTTCAGAGTATAGTAGGTCAAGCTTTGCAATTATGACATTACTAAATATATTAGTTTAGCTTCATTCCATTATCACTGCAACAACTCGTTACTAGTTAAAATTTATCAAAAGACGGTTGATGGTAAGACATTGTGCAGTCGGAGGTTGTAACAACCGTGAGGGAAGAGACACCAGTAGTAGGAGAAGCTTTCTGGTTTTTCATATGGTCTTATCTGAACAAGGGCTTAGATATTCAAGATACCTGTTTAGTTTCACCATCAATGATGCTGTAAAACGGGGAGACTATCTAAAAGCACATTTGACACCAAAAAAGTGGAGATATTTAGCCTACAAATCATTTGTGAATTTGATAAGCTCCCAAGATTTGGATAGAAAGGTTCGATACGTACTTCCATCATGTGTTGTGTCGGCGATCCGAGAAAAGTTTCCAAACACAGATGGATCAAGATATACGGGTTTTATCAGTATCGGAACTGATGATGGACATATTTTGCCATGAAGTTAACAAGTAAATGTTTGTATCCAGAAAAAACTATTTATAATTTAAGGTTAGTTTAAGTAATAGGTTCTTACAAACGTGTATTGTTATTTAGTGTTTGGTAATTGAATGTTTTTCTTCCTACAACATAACACAGCAGTACGTAAACTTATAAGACAATTATTTGATGCTTGTGTATATTATGCACATTATTCAACCACAATTTTCGAAAGATAAAAGTCAAATCTATCAAGTGTCGTTAATTTGAAGATTTTATCAATTAAATTGGCGCCACAGCACATGAATAAAAATGTGCGTTTTAACACTGTTTCTATTGCGGTGTCTGACAGTTAGCCACAATCCAACAAATTCGGGCGATCTTCCTGTATCGATTTCACGCGACATAATTAAGTTACGAATCTGGGAATGCCGAGCCCTATTGTTATTTTAGTGTTTCTATGTGATAGTATATGTGAAATGTTTTGACGATTAAGTCGGGGACACTTCATGATCCCTTTAATATGCCCTTCCTAAGGTGTTCTAATTCGATAGAATTCTCCACAACTAGGAGTCATCCCGCTGCATACAATCCACGAAGGAAACAAAGAAGGCATCTGGCCTTCTTTAACAGCTTTAGTGATATCATTCTTTGGACCTTCAGAGATGGATGCAGTGTAATTACGGGCGTTGCTGTCGTAGACCTCAATTTTCTGCAAGTCGTCCGTCATGGCATTCGATAACACCACAAAATGGTTCCCATTTCTGATCATAACTCGAGTGAACTTGGAGTTAAGAACAGGCTTAAACTTGGGCCCCTTATAATTGTGTGCTGAAAGAATCACTGGTTGCGTTGTGTACCCAGGGTTTAAGCTTTTGTTAATGATAGCACACATAGCGTCCATGATTGCATCATCATAGAGTTCCGAATTCGATAAGAGCCAATTGCGGTGATACATTAAAAAATATCTTCTTCCAGCCTGTAACCAAGTACGATTGTCCTCGGGATTTGTAATGGGAACTTTTATAGGCAGAAGGTCGACCTTTTTTTGCGCTACTTTTTCACTATTCTCTCTCTTTGGTAACTTGCTTGGCAGCGGAGTTTGGTATTTTGATTTATCATTAGAGTGTGAAGGCTTCAGCTGCTTTATTTGAAATAGCTGTATAACAGCAACTTTACCTTTCTCGAGGAATTCCTCGATTGTTCCCAAGTGTCTCACTGCTCAGAGCACTTTTACACCTTGTGACGAGGTGCAACTTTGTTAAAATCATTAATTTGTTTAAAATCAAACCTACCTCGTAGGAAGCATAAAAGTTTTCGGTGGGGTTGTTGTATTTACTTTATCTCTTTATAACGTGGATTTTCTCAAAACAATTAAATTTCAAATTTTTATTGACTTTTACATCATAAATAATAAGCATGCACCAGCTAAGAACATCTATTTTATACCTGGTCGTAGTGACTGGTGGAATGAAAACTGCAATGATGCCCGTAAAAAGCGCAGAGCTGCTGAAAGACTCTGGAAGAAGCATAAAGGTATGGCTGATGCTCAAGATTATAGAGAAATCTACAGGGAAGCTTGTGTAGATACTACCTTAATCATCTCTAGAGAACGGAATCGCTATTATGAGAAACGACTTACAGATGCTAAAGGAGATCCAAAAGCTATGTATACAGAATTATAAATAACCTTCTGGATAAAGATCTTTCTCGGAAGTCCCCTTCTGGGCCCACGCATCAAGCAGTTGCAGAAAGTCTCAAAAACTACTTTGACGATAAAGTAAAGAAGATTTATGGGTCTATCTCAGAGGAAAACCTGTCCAGTGCTGATAGTCAATCTGAAGACAAACCTTGTGTAAAAGAGTTAGAGATGCCTAATGATACACATAGTTCTCTACCATGCTCTGCTACAGCTTTCAGATTAGTTACTCGATTAGAGGTTCTTTCCCTGATTACTAAGACGATGAATAATAAGTCGTGTGAACTCGATCCTCTTCCAACATGGCTCCTCAAGCACTGTCTCGATGAATTGCTCCCTCATATCACCCTCATAGTTAACCTATCCCTCCAAGAGGGCTATTTTCCACATGCTCTGAAGTCTGCTATAGTACGACCAGTCCTAAAGAAAGCCTCTCTAGATGCAGACGACTTGAAAAGCTATAGACCTGTGAGTAACCTCAGTTTTATTTCCAAGGTTATAGAAAAGTGTGCCCACTCACAGTTTTCCGAGTACCTAAATAAGAACAATCTTTTCGCAGCAAATCAATCAGGATACCGGAAAAACATGAGCTGTGAAACTGCAGTGCTCAAGGTACATAATGATATACTCCTCCAAGTTGACAAGGAGAGTCATACTGTTCTTCTTCTTGACTTGTCAGCTGCATTTGATACCATCAATCACAAAAGACTTTTGAGACGACTCGAACATAGCTATGGATTTAGTGGTATTATTCTTCAATGGGTTGCAAGCTACCTGTCAAATCGATCCTTTATCGTTGGTGTTAAGGGTGAATATTCCTCTCTCTGTGACCTCGAGATTGGAGTTCCTCAGGGCTCAATTCTTGGTCCTATATTTTTCATCCTTTACACTAAACAGCTACAAGATATTGCAAGTATGCATGGTCTCCAAATCCATCTATATGCTGATGATACTCAGATATACTTCTCATTTGATCCTAAAAAAGACATGGCCATTGAATCTATTAAGAGCAAATTGAAAGAATGTTTCGAGCACATCAAATCATGGATGAGTGAGAACTACCTGAAACTCAACGACAATAAAAGTGAGATAATCGAGATCTCTACAAACTCCAAAGCCCCAAAACAAGTTGAATTCAATCTTGACAGCATATATGCTCCATTAAACCTACCAAGTCAGCAAAGAATCTGGGATTCATTTTTGACAACCATCTCAATTTAGAGGCACAGATCAACAACGTTGTCAGAGTTTGCTATGTAAATCAGCGAAATCTTGGCAGAATAGGTTCCAAACTGAGTAAGGAGCTCAAAATCCAAATGGTACACGCTTCAATTCATTCCATTCTGGACAATGGAAATGCTACTTATGGTGCCCTTTCTGAAAGACTTCTCCAAAAACTTCAAAAAGTGCAGAATACTGCTGTGAGATTCATATTCGGACTTCACGGGAAGTTGAGACAGGAGCCCATCACACCCTATATGATTGAATTACACTTCTTACCTGTAGCAATGCGAATCAAATTCAAGATAGCGTTACTGGTTTTCAAGTGCCTAAACGATTGTGCTCCTGAATATCTAAGGACAATGGTCAAAATTAGGGACACTAGTAAACATCATGTCAGAATGGACCATGACTTCTTCCTACTGGAACGCCCTCCTTTATCAAGGCTGAGGGCTACAGCTGGTGCTTTCTCTCACACTGCTCCTAAAATCTGGAATACACTTCCCTACTCACTACGCTCCATCTCTCGACTAGATGTTTTCAAGAAGGCTCTCAAGACCCATCTATTTCATCAAGCCTATCCTGTATGTGCGAACAGTATTTTTGGTGATTCAGTAGTCATGGACGCAGGACTTTAAGATCTATCTACAATTTATAAATTTGAATTTTTGATTAGAAAAGGGACTACTAAGGTAAATTTATCTGCACCGCTTTGTTGGCCAGTATCAACTCCATTTTTTGGACTTTGGTCGCTTATACGGCCTAAGCGGTATACAAATAAAGCGTTATTATTATTATTATTATTAAATAAATAAGGAAGGAGCACAAAGACATAAAAGATAGAAAGATAGATGTGAGACAAAAGAAATAAAAATAGATCAAATTAAGGAAAAAAAAAGTGATAGATAAAGAAAAGATAAAGAAATAAAAATAAAGAAAAACAAGAAAAATGAGACAAAACATTCAGCAGGTGGTCTTGTTGCTGCTGTGAAATACTGTGAAATACTCACGAGCCAAAACAGTGATATTTTTAGATCAAGTTTAAAGAAAAATGGCATGTCGTAATGTTTTAACTTAGATAAAATACATTTAAAAGGGTCAGTGCAGGAACGATCGGAGGACGAGTGGCCAACTTGAAGTTGGAAAAATGGAACTGAGTAGAAGTGAGGTCATCAAAAAGGGTCAGTGCAGGAACGATCGGAGGCTGAGTGGCCAACTCGAAGTTGGAAAAATGGAACTAAGTAGAAGTGGAGAGAAGTTCGGGTCGTCGTCCTCGGATGGTTTCCCAGATTGTGATAATTACCATTTAAACTTAGAGGTCCGATAATTGATCATATCAGCTCGGTTTAACTCATCCTTTCCTGGTGCACTGAGATATGAGATTTCACCGTCAGGACACCGGTTCGGGGGCTCCGTGATTGGTTACTATTCGTATGGTTGCCACGGTGATTGGTGCGCTCCACAAGCTGATGGAAGCCTTGCCACTGCATCTCCTAATGAGCCTTCACTCGCTGCTAGAGGGGTCCCGTCCGGTCCATCACGGTATGAACTAGGTATGAAGTGTCAACTCTCGGCGCTCAGTTGTTAACTGAACGGCAAAAAGAATAGGGGGCCGAGGTTCTTACATTTAAGTACGTTTTTATTGAATATATTCCTTTGGTGTAAATTCCTTTAGTAATATGTTTTTATCTATAGCGTCAGTAACAGCGTGACACTAGTTCATTACCAAGTGTCTTAAGTTTCCTGATGGAATTTTCAATCTCAGCTGATTGTGGGATCTCCATCCCATCTCTTAATGAACGTAGTGTGGAGAATTCCGAAGCGAATGGGTTTAAAATTAAAATTCGACATTAGTCTTACAGACACAAATGTTTTTAAAACAACATAATACTAATAATACAACATAAAGGACATATTAATAAATACGTCCTTTTTAAAACAGCATCGTATATCTCCTCTAAGGCATCCTGCATGATCTAAATTCATACTTTCTAATAACTTGTGGAGCCGATTCAATCAGGTTTTCCAATTGTTCCGTTTCGATAGTCCTTAATATGCCCTTCCTAAGGTGTTCTAAGTCGATAGAATTCTTGATGTGATGCGGGGGAATTCCTTTAGCAATCACCCAGAAATTCACCAAGGCTAGAGGTCCACAACTATAGGAGTCATTTTGCTGCATACAATCCACAAAGGAAACAAAGAAGGCATCTGGCCTAAACGATTTAACAGCTTTAGTGATATTATTCTTTGGACTTAGAAAAGCTTCTCCAGAGATGGATGCAGTGTAATTACGGGCGTTGCTGTCGTAGACCTCAATTTTCTGAAAGTCGTCCGTCAGGGCATTCGATATGACCACAAAATGGTCCCCATTTCTGATCATAACTTGAGTGAACTTGGAGTTAAGAACAGGCTTAAACTTGGGCCCCTTATAATTGTGTGCTGAAAGAATCACTGGTTGCGGTGTGTACTCAGAGTTCAAGCTTCTGTTGATGATAACACACATAGCGTCCATGATTTCATCGTCATAGAGTTCCGAATTCGAGCCAATTGCGGTGATACATGAACACAATTCTTCTTCCAGCCTGTAACCAAGTACGATTGTCCTCGGAATTTGTAATGAGAACTTTAGGCAGAAGGTCGACGTTTTTTTGCGCTACTTTTTCACTCTTCTCTCTCTTTAGTAACTTGCTTGGCAGCGGAGTTTGGTATTTTGATTTATCATTAGAGTGTGAAGGCTTCAGCTGCTTTATTTGAAATAGCTGTATAACAGCAAATTTACCTTCCTCGAGGAATTCCTCGATTGTTCCCAAGTTTCTCACTGCTCAGAGCACTTTTACACCTTGTGACGAGGTACAACTTTGTTAAAATCATTAATTTGTTTAATATCAACCCTACCTCTAGGAAGCACGAAAGTTTTCGGTGGGGTTGTTCTATTTACTTTATAACGTTGATTTACTTTATGAAGCAGGTTTTCTCAAAACAATTAAATTTCAAATTTTTATTGAATTTTACATCATAAATAAATAAGGAAGGAACACAAAGACATAAAAGATAGATGTGAGATAAAAGAAATGAAAATAGATAAAAATATATAAAAGCAGATAAAATTGAAGAAGAAGAAGAAAGTGAAGATAAAGAAAAGATAAAGAAATAAAAATAAAGAAAAACAAGAAAAATTAGACAAGACATTCAGCTATTCAGGTGGTCTTGTTGCTGCTGTGAAAGACATTAATATTTTATTTAAGTTTCTTTCTGCCACTTTTTGTTTCGATTTAGGGCTAAATCTGGTGGATAAAAGTGAAACAGACCAATCCACTTCAGGTGGCCTTCAAAAATATTTAATTCCATCTAAACTCCTAAAATATGATTGAGACTTAAAAATAATCGTTATAACTTCACAATTTCATAAGAAGGGCTGTGATTTTTCTTAAGGGGCAAATTTGGTGGATATATTTTTTTACCTCTTTTTTAAGACTGTTATTTGTTAGCTAACATCAATTTACTGGTCTTAAAATGGTGCAAAGGCAAACAGAAGATAATGTTAATTGAATGGCACCAACTTAGAGTTCGAGATTTAAGTTTAAAGGCTATTTTTAGTGGATATAAGTCAATATGAAGCAGTTAAACACATGAGAACATTAGAAATATCAATATTAAAATATTAACAGATTAGAAATAGTTGATAAAGATAAAATATAATATGATGTTGAACATTAATGTAAAAGGTAGTATGGTATTTTAAGCTTTTAGGGCCAATTTGGTGGATAAATTAATCAAATTTATACAGTGCAAATAAAATATATGATATTATTAATAATAATAATAAATTGAAATTTAATAACACCGCTTTTAAGATAAATCTTATACTCAGCAGTGTTTGAACTAGCCATCCCAGAAAATATCATGAATGCTGAGCTAAAAAATAACATATGCTTGAAAATATATCGTCAATACTAAAGCCCGAAAATGGTACTTAAATATATTATGCAAATATCGAATTCCAAATATGACCACAATAGTTATCGATAAAGTTTTTCAAGTTCATCTGGAGACATTTTGAAAAGGTAAGTTTTTAGAAAAGCTTTAAAACATTCCAGAGATTGAGCAGAGGTGATGGTAACAGGCAGACGATTGTAGATCTTTGGAGCCACTACAGAGAAGCTACGCTCACCAAACTTTGAATTACAAGAAGGAACAATAAGCTTCAATGAGTGACCATGATGAGCATACTTGAACATGTCCTGCAGATAAATTGGTGCCAATCCTAACAGTGACTTGTGAGATAGTAATAAGATTTTGAAGAAAATCCTTTTCTTTACATCTATTTATCTATTATGTACCAATAGTTAAATATAAATCGTGTACTAGGCTTTCAATGTTCAATGTATTAATTGAAAAACATTATACTGATGAATAAAATAGGTACATTTATATATGGGATCAAATTGGTGGATAAATTTTGTTATTGAATCGCCTTTCAGGGCCAATTTGGTGGATAAATCTATAAATTAACCAAATTAACCAAATTGCTGATATTGTACTGTCATAATAGTTAAATACATATCTGGTAAGTTATACTGTCAATGCTCAATGTATTAAAATCGAATTAACATATTATATGTCCATTTATATAAGGGCCCAGTTTGGTGGATAAGTCTATTGAATGGCCTGGGTAATAGCAACTAATTATTCGTTACTAATGACAATCATATTATTTTTTTGTCAAATACCACACAAGGATAAGTTATGTTGTCCGACGAGAAATAAACTTCTTTTTTGCAAATGATATATCTGCTCTCTCTCCTTGCATCTTCCTTTTTATCCAGGTAGTGTCCAATTATGTATGGAAACCCTGTGATAACTTGTATAAGGCGCTAGACATAAATTATTAGGATGAATACAATTCCAATTCCAATGATTAAAGCCAATAAAGTAGTATAGTAAACTGAAAGATAAATTAGGAATTATATTATTTCGATGATTCAGCAAGTAACAGCAGCATCAAAAACCAGCGGATAGTTAGTGCCAGAAAATAAACAACTAGCAGCAGCAAATCATGAAATACAGCTTTAGCAACAGTAAATATCAACATTTAAAAAGGTGCTTCAAAATATCTAGCAACATAAACATGCAACATGTAACATGCGCCACAACATGCAGACTTACAAATGACCAATGACCATGGCCCTTCTTATCTTGCCTGGTGACGGTATGTCACCGGAAAAGTGTGAGGATTAGGTGGACAAACTGATTGGTTGGTTAGTGGGTTAATAATTAAAGGTTTTTATAAAGTTTGGTACATTTTCCACTTTTAATTTCGGGTTGGAAAATAGTTTTTGATATTATATTTGAAAATTGGTATTTAAACAGCTTACCTGCTGGAATTTTATGTCCGTAGCAATCTTGAACTTGCTCAGAATTGTCAGCAACAAATTTTTCTATGAAGATGAAATAGAAGGGGTATATCATATAATCATCTGCTCTCACTGCTACAACTCTACAACACATTCTTCTCTGAAAAATCTCGAAGTTAAACAAATGCAACCAGTTTTAACTTATACATTCACGACTGAATCTAAGAGCAGAAACAAGAGCTTTGAAGTAAATAACTATTCAGTCCCACCTTATTAGGTCATCT